ACTGCACCCGGCCTACAATAACCTTTAAAAATTCATCTGAGCATCTACTTGTAGTCATTCTTAATGTGATCAGCACACTGACCTTACACTGTGCTGGTGAGTAACCCTTTGGGATCCCCTCTTCATGCAATGGTTTCCAACTAGATTTCCCACTTTGTAAGAAAGGGGCCTTGGGCTTTATTTCCTTTTTCTTCAACTCTGTGTACTTATCAAAGAGGAAGTTCAAGGTTCTAGTTATGAGGCAACTCTAAGGATGGACACATTTTTGGGCACATGCTGACCTCCCAGTGTGTAATTTCACTTTGTTTTGGAGCTTGGTGTATTTTTTACTTTCATGCTAACTCAGTAAATGTTAATTAAAAAAAAAATAGGCATTTTACACCTGACTTACTTGGGAGTGTTGTTCAATCTACTATAATAATGGAAATGGAAATTCCAAATTCCTTTCTTCCTATATTGAGATTACCGCTTACACAATTATTAATAATTGAAAGAAACCTCATTAAATGATTTTTATGTGCTAGGCATTGTTAAAAGCCCTTTGCATGCATTGTGTGAAATCATTTAATCCTAACAACTCTGTGAAAATGAAGTTCAAAAGGTTAATTACTTGCCCAGGGTATTTTAATTCACGTCCATCTTACTAGAGAACTGGGAGCTGCTAGATCTACTTTTACTGACTAAGCCTACGTAACAAAGAAGATCTTACCTGATAGTTTAGGTACTACAAATATAGTTCCGTCATCACCAATGCAGCTGACTACTGCCTCAAATATTTGCATGTTAGGAATAGCTGGTGGTTTATAGCATCCAGTGGTTCTTGGTTCTAGAATTTTCTCCTTAAATTCAGACACCTTGTGTTCACTGATTATATCAGCAGCTTTTTTGTCTCCAGAGTCAAAGTCCATTTTAACACACTTAGTAACCATTGAACCTTCTTGTTCCAGGGGGACTTCGAGAGACTCCTCAGATAATGAATGGCTGTTATCTAATTTATTAATTCTGTAACATCCAAAAAAGAACATATCTAATCATGAGCAAATATAAAATTCTGGGGAAAACAATACTTGAAATTTAAAGAAAATATTTGCTCTAGTCTAGGATATACTCGTTTCATATGTTACATGAAAATTAGCATAAGTTATAATGAAAATTAGTTTAAATTATGAGACTGATAAGAAAAAGCAATATAATTTTACTTAAATATTTTAAATTACTATCTCATATTTACATGTTATTCTCCCTTAAAATTTCATAAGTATATCCAAAATATTATACAATGAATTAGATGTTATTGGAAAATATAACACCTTCAAGTTGATTCTAATTTAATCCACAGAACATATATACCTGGCAAGTTATTAACATTCATAAAATAAAGAAAATGAGTCTCTTAAAAAATAGTAAGGTACTTTTCAGATATTAGGTATCAGTGGTAATATGTTGTATTTACTCAATTTCTACTTCATGTTAATTCCCTTCCAATTCAAAAACAGCAAGTGTACTGTACAAAAAATAAAATCCTAGAAGGAAACATTAACACTGGTTATGTTTTAGCAGAATTATAGCAGGTTTCTGCTTCTTATAATTTCCTTTACTTTCAAAAAGAAGCAAGCATTAATGAAAC